TTTCGTGAGCCCTGGATGTGTTTTTGCGCAGAGCTAAGTGCTGTAAGGGTAAGGACAGAACCAGATACTAAAAGAAATATTAATGAGTGGCTGGTAATGCCTATAATCAAGTTTCAAACTCCATGCTGTGGAGGTCCTATAGGAACAGAAATATTTGAAAAAGAGGGAGAGGGTGGCCTGAAAGATGCCTCTTGCCAGGGTAGGAAATCTGGAAGGTACATTGAATTGCGCATGCCTGACCAAAGGGCCAACTGCTTCTCATTTCCATCCAGTTGTCCCCGTGTGGGAATGCGGGCCCAGCATTGCTAGTTCTGATTTTTTTTTTTTTAAGAGATCAGAAATCATCAATTTCACATGCAATCTCTGATTTTTTTTTTTTTTGAGAGATTTTTCACTGTAGGGCGCGTGCGCTCGCCAGACAGACAGAGAGAGACATAGAGACAGAAAGCGAGAAATCACCCCCCAGGGGGGATGGTCACGCCGCAATCCCTTCTCCTCCCTTCTCCTCTCGGGATCTTGGGCACGCACGCACACCCGGCGTGAGTTTTAAGCCACTGGGTCTGGGACACGAACCGCGGTCGACTACGTGGGAGTCCAGCGACATAGCCATTACGCTAACTGCTGGTTCCCGCAATCTCTGATTTTTGATGGCAGTTAATGTAAAGTACCTTGTGGTCTATGAGGTCAGAAAGTAGATTAGTTATTGCCAGGCTGGGAGAGTAGGGTACAATGAAGACTGACGGCAGACAGGTACAGGGTTTCTTGTAGTACGATTGTGGTGACAGTTACACAATTCTGCTGTTTTATACCAAAAACCATTGAATGATACACTTTAAGTGGACAGAGCATCTGGTATGTAAACTTTATCTCAATAAAATTGTTTTTTAAGAAGTATTTTGTGGGTAAAATATGTCTTTGGGTCAAAAAGGGGCCACCAGTTAACAACCTGTGTGCTAGAATCCATGGTTCCATTTTTCAGCAGACCTAAGTCCTCACAGATCAAATATCGAATGAGCCCACGTTTCCAAGAAGCCTCTCTAAGGCATTTGTTCACTTGGCTTCAGAGTGATCAGTGAAGAGAGCGTAGCTCATTTGCCAGGCCCGCAGTTCCTAGCTGTAAATACTGCCGAAGAACTGGACATTCCCCTTCTGTGCTCTCCTGGTGTGACTCAAGCACACTGATTCATCGCCTCCTGCTGGCCTGGCAGGCCCCCGGGCTCCCAGGCTGCAGGGACAAGCTGGGTCTGGCTCCAGCTCACGCATCATTCCCAAGGCTGCTTTCCCCTTTCCTGCATTGCCTCTGCCTGGGGCTTCTGGCATTCCAGCCGCTCACTCAGGTTCTATACTTTAGGTTTCTTCTGCCAGTAGTTTGAACTTGATCCTAATTTCAGTCATCCAGCAAATGCCAGACACTGCTGGTGTAGAAAGTCTGACCTCAAGGAACTAGGACTGAAAGGAGACAAAAATGGAAACAGTAAATTCTTACAGAAAGCAGAATGAAATGCATGCTATTTGATATACAGGAAATTTGCTATGAGATGATCAGAAGAGAGTAATTCCAACTGGGGATTATTTTCAGAAGGAAGGTGCTGAGATTTGAACTGGGCCTGTTATACTCTTGCTAGGAAGGATGGAGGAGAAAAAAGTGAATCTCACATTTTAATCTGCCTGGTTACCCAGACTCTAGTTCTTTTGCTAGTAAACTGAAAATATCCAGAAAAACCATCTCTTAAAAATATACAGGGGGGAGGGGCCAGCAGGTGGCATGGCAGCTAAGGGCGCTGGACTCCCACATGGTCGACTGTGGTTCAAGTCCCGGACCTGGCAGCTTGCTTTCTCACTTTCCCTCCCTTTCTCTCTCTCACTCTGTCCCTCTCTGGTCAAATTAAAATAAATAAATAAATAAGTAAATAAAGTTAAATAATTCTTTTAAAAATATATGTATACGGGGTGGGGGGGGAGACCAATAGATAGCGTTATGGCTCCATTGCTGGATTCCCATGTAGTCGACTGTAGTTCAAGTCCCAGACCCGGTGGCTTAAACTCACGCCAGGCATGTGTGCGTGTGTGCCCAAGATCCTGAGAGGAGAAGGAATTGTGGCATGGCCGTCCCCCCTGGGGTGTGATTTCTTGCTTTCTATCTCTATGTCTCTCTCTGTCTTTCTGGTGAGCGCACATCCCTTATAGCAAAACCCTCTCCAAAAAAATAATAATAAAATAAAAAAATGTATATATACAGGGGTGAGATTGGCAGGTGGCATGATGGCTAAGGCTCTGGACTCCCACAGGCTGACTGCAGTTCGAGTCCCGGACCTGGTTGCCTGCTTTCTTACTTTCCCTCTCTCTCTCTCTCTCTCTGGTCAAATTAATAATAATAATAAACAAATAAATAATTCTTTTTTTAAAAAAAATATATGTATGTATGTATATATACACACACACACATACATATATACACACACACACACACACACACACACCCTCAGTTTTTCTCAAGAAAGTCTTGAAAAGATTTAGAGTCTATGTAATTTCAATACATAATCAAAAAAAAATACATAATCAGAGATTACATGTAGGTTAATGAGTACCAGAAGTAGACCTAATTAAGATTCTGTCTCTGTTGCAGAAAATAAAATGGATTCAGCATAATTCTGTCTCTCAAATGCTTTATTGATATAATTACTGAATGCAAATATTTATGAATTATACAGACAGCATTCAATATCATTTAAAATAGCAAAGAGCTATTGCTGCAACAAAGGAAATTAGGGAAATTAACATCCAAAGCTTCCCACAGATTACTTAATCCCCATGTTTATGTAAGAAGTACTCAGAATATGAGGCATATCCACATTAGTAAATTTGTCTGTCATCACACTGAAGTGGTATCAAGGGTCAGAATATTGGCATTGCTTTTCAGCTGAATAGAAGATGTAACAAAACCATATTTCAGTCTGTCTAGTACAAACACACACACACACACACACACACACACACACACACGGAGGTGATCAGCTAGTGGTATGGTGGCTAAGGCAGCTGGATACTACATGGCCAACTATTGTGGTTTGAGTCTTGGACCTGGCAGCTTGAAAACATGCTGGGCCCGTGTGCGAGCATGCCCAAAATCCTGAGAGTGGAGGAGAAGGGATCGTGGCGTGGCCATCCCCTCTGGAGGGGGAGGCAATTTCTCAGTTTCCCTTTTTCTCTCTCTCTGTCTCTCTCTGGCAAGGGGAAAAAAAAAATCTGAGTCTAAAATACAGGTCTCATCTTCTCTTGTTTTAACCTCTGCCAGGAGACCCAATTAGTCCGTCAGCATCACCACACCCAGAGGAAGGCGGGGCGGTGAGCAATCTCGGGAAGCTTGAGCTAACAAGTTCCCAGAGTCCTTGGGTGCTGTTCTCAGCTACACCCCACAGTCTCAGCACCCTCAGATTTGCAGTAGGATCATCCCTGATGGCCCGACCTTTTCGGCTCACTTCACAGCTGCACCTTCACAGGCTCCTTTCGGTACTGCGCAGGCCCAGGCCGGGGAGTCTGCGCATGTCTCCGGGTTTCTCTGTCGTCTTTTGGCACAGGTTCCTGCTCCCTCAGAGAACGGGCCCGCCCAGCCCCCCCCCACACCACTCTCCTGTTCCCAGCCGTTTCTCACTGCCAGCCCCAGGTGCTATCTTCCCAGAGGCAGGCACCAGGATGGCTAGTCAGGGAGGGGACCAGCAGTTAGCATAATGGCTATGTCACTGGACTCCCAGGTAGCCGACCACTGTTCGAGTCCCGCACCCGGTAGCTTAAACTCACGCTGGGCACGTGTGCATGCGTGCCCAGGATCCCGAGAGGAGAATGCAGGAGAAGGGATTGCAGTGTGGCCATCCTCCCATCGGGGTGATTTCTCACTTTACCTCTCCTGTCTCTCTCCAGTGAGCATATGCACCCTATAGCAAAAACCGAAAGAAAGTGAGAGAGAGAGACAGGGAGGGAAGCAGGAGTCTTGCTAAGAAGGCTTTTGTGCGAAGATACCCATGGCTTCTTAGTGTCTCCTGCTGTGTTTACTTCTTGCTCTGTGGGTTCTGGAAAGACCACACTCCACCCCAAGAGAAGTGGTCAGCTAGCAGCAGGAAAGGCCTGCCCCCTTCACGCATGCAGCTGCAGCTGTGCTGGGGAGGAAGGTGAGTGTGTCAGGTGTGGTGGTAGAAGTTAGGAAGGAAGAGACCCAAATATATTTGCAAGCAGTATCATGCCCCAACACCTGTCCTGCACAGGGTTGGTGTCTGTCTGATGTCAATATTTACATTGGCTGGGCCCTGGGTGGCGCCAGAGATGCTGATGGGAGAACGCAGATTCTTTTCTGTGTGCTCCACCCAACATGGCAAATATTGGCGCAGCAGGGCGGTGGGTCTCTTCTCCTGTTCTTAGATCAGGCTTTACTACCAGAAGACCAGGGGGTAACACAAAGCGTAGCGATCTGCCCAGCAATTAGAGCCAGACAGCGTGTGTTCCATGGAGTCAGCTTCAAGCAGGCCAGTGTTCACGCGCTGTCTGTCATAGCGCCCTGGAGGCAGGAGAGTGCAGGGCCAAGCCAGGCAAGTGGGTTAAACTCATCCCGTGGTGGTACAATGAAAGACCAAGCGCTTTTTCCTCCTCGAGTCCATTTCTGGACTTGGCTGCTTTAATGCTTCTGGGCGCTGTCCTCTTCTCTCCCCAGGTTTGTTTTCTTCCTTCTCTCTATTAATATTATTTTTTAATTCCTAAAGTAAAACATGTTCAATAGAGAACAAAGACTACAGAAAAATCCAAAGGTATGTTGGAGTAGACGGTGAAGGTCCCCACCGCCATCCCCAGTCCACCTCCTCTGGTGCGCATTCTTTTTCCAGGCTTATACAGGTATCTATATTACATACACATATCAGGCCTCTCTCTGTGTGTGTAACAAAAACAGAACAGTAAAATACTTCTCTTTTTGTTTTTGTAACAATTCTGACTTCTCTTCCCTCTCTCTCCAGGGATCCGGCGTCATTAAGGCTGGCTTCGCTGGTGATCAAATCCCCAAATACGGCTTTCCAAACTAGTAAGTCATTCTTTTTTTTTTTTTTTAAGAATTATTTTATTCATTATTTTTAAAATAATTATTTTTTATTTTTAACTTTATCTATTTATTCATTTATTTCATATTAACTTGACCTCAGAGGGACAGAGCAAGAGAGAGAGAGAAAGTGAGACAGCAAGCCTCCAGGTCCGGGACTCGAACCATGATCAGTCATGTGGGAGTACAATACCCTTACCCGCCACACCACATGTCAGCCCCTATTATTACTATTTTTTAATTTGCCCAGAGAGGGAAAGTGAGAAAGCAAACTGCCAAGTCTGGAACACAAACGGCAGACAGCCAGGTGGGAGTCCAGTGCCTTAACCACCACGCCACCTGCTGGTGAGTCATTCTGCAGTCTGGTCTGAAGTTTGGGAGGCTCCTGGCTGTGTTATGGGACCAGCCCTAACTCGCTTAGAAAGAGGAATTCTCATTCAGGTCAGCCTTGGATGAAAGCCATGAGCTAGAGACAGGAGTACACAGAGGGAACAGCGGCCTGCATGGTGCAGTCGGAGAGGCACAGACAACAGGCCTTTTTAAAAAACTGATTTTTATCTAATGCCCTGAAACATTTTTCTTTTAGTATTTGCTACAGGGCACGTGTACTCACTGGAGCGCGACGCGTGTAGTGGGAGGAAAGGAAAGCAAGAAATTACTCCCCGGGGGGATGGCCACACTGCAGTCCCTTCTCCTCCATTCTCGGGATTTTGAGCATACACACACACATGCCCAGCTTATTTTCAAGCCCCTGGGTCCAGGACTTGAACCGTGCAGCTGGCCATGTGGGATCCAGCACCTTAACCTCCACAACACTTGCTGGCCCGCCTCCAGTTTTTTTTTTTTTTTTTGTAGTTTATTTATTTATTCTCTGAGTGAGACGGACAGAAAGATAGCACCGTCAATGAGGTCTCAATGCCACAATCCATATCCAACTCCAGCTAGCTCTGGCCTGTGGGTGCACGTGTGCTTGGTGTGCTAGAGAAGTCTCCAGATGAGAACCCAGAATCTCCCCATGGGGGTCAGCCCCACTTTTAACACTGTGCCACCATCTGGTACCCTGATGCCAAAATTCTACCTATCACTGGGAGCCATCAGGTGGCGTGGTAGTTAAGGCACTGGATCCTACGTGGGGGTCAGAGTGGTTTGAGTCCAGGACCCAGTGCCTTGAAAAACACCCGGGGCATGTTGTATGCGTCCCGAGAGGACAACAGAGAAGGGATTATGGCATCACCATCTTCCCTAGGGGGTGATTTTTCACTTTCCCGTTCTCTCTCTCTGTCTCTGTCTCTCTCTGGTGAGTACACACACCCTATGGCAAAATTCTAAAGAATAAATAAATACGTATATCTTTTTAAAAATGCATTGTTTGTGACTCATTGCCTTGGATAATTGGCTCTTCACGGAGTTCTCTTTTGAAAATGCTCCAACACCCAGGATGGGGCTTAACCTTAAACATATCTATCATCTTACTGAGAAGACTCGCGGAGCTTTCCTCCTGAGGCCGAGACTGCCGGCAGGAGAGTACCCAGCGGCCTGGAGAAGGGACTTAAAGGAAAGGAAAAGGAGGAAGGTTATCTGTCCCAGGTTATCTGTCCCACGCCACAGTTTGTTTAGTAGTGGTCCTGGGGAGGGGACTCAGATTTAAAAATATTCTTTTCCATTTATTTCTTTCTTCCATGTGAGAAAAAGAGAGAAAAGGAAAGAGACATGAACCCCCACCATGTACTTCACACTACAGTCTACCCCTGGCCTGGACTAGCTAGGTTTACAGGCATGTGTGTCCCCACGTACACACACACACACACACACACAGAGTGAACACAGGGAGACGTCGGGACAGAAGCTTGGGAGTTTCCCATATGATTTCAACGTTGCAGAATCTGGCATTGTCACTCCTTTAGCTGGCCAAGACTACAATTTTTCGAGGTAACCATTCGTCTGGAAATTCTTATTCTTAGGCCAGCCAGTGGCAGGGGGTTGAAGTGGCTAGATCCCATGTGGGCAGCTGCACAGTTTGGGTCCCAGACCTGGCAGTTTAGAGAACACACTGGTACGGGGCCAGCAGGTGGTTGGAGCACTGGACTCCCACGTGATTGGCTGTGGTTCGAGTCCTGGACTTGGCAGTTTGCTTTCTCACTTACCCTTTCTTTTTCTCTCTGTGATTATTATTATTAAATAATAATCACAAATAAATAAATAATTAGTTTTAAAAAATAAAAAGAACACCGTGGTGCATGCGTCTGTGTGCCCGTGGGGGAGAGAGGATTGCAGTGTGGCCACCTCTTCTGCTCACTCTCTGTCGGTCTCTCTGGTAAGCACACATGCCCTGTAGAAAATTGAGGGGGAAAAAAAGTATCCATTTCTTTCCTTTTTTTCTTTCTGTAGAGAGACTTTTGCCTCCGGGAACATGCACTCACCCTAGAGGAAGAGAGATAGATACAGTGAGAGGGAAAGTGGGAAATCATCCCCAGGGGGGATGGCCATGCCGCAATCCTCCGTTCTCTTCCTGGGATCTTGCACACGTGCCCGGTGTGATTTTCAAGCCACCAGGTCCAGGGCTCGAGCCACAGTCAGCCATGTGGAAGTCCAGTGAGATAACCACTACACCATCTGCTGGTCCTGAAATGATTATTTTCTTATGCCTCTCATTTTACACATATATTGGGGAAAGAGAAGAACTAGAGTTATTGAATTCTCTAAATTTCATTTAGTAAGGTATAAAGCAATATAAATACATAATACCTAAGTCATGTAAAACGATACCCATTCATTGTAGAAGTTGTGGGAAGTGCAGAACAGCATAAAGGAGAGAGTCAGAATCAGCCGCACCTCCCTCCTCGGAGCTGGTCGCGGTAGAATTTGGGTACAGATGTGCATGTCTCCGTCCCTCCTGTGTTCTGTCAGGAAATGAAAATGATGGTCCTCCCTGCTCTCTTTTCTAGTGTGGGCAGACCCAAGCATGTCCGTGTCATGGCAGGAGCCCTCGAAGGGGATATCTTCATTGGCCCCAAAGCCGAGGTAATCCACAGTCCAGAAGAAGCCTCAAGCCAGCAGGGGACTGCTGAAAGTGTCCCAACGGCTAGACACAGCCATGAGTAAAAGGCGTAACTTTCTCCTAGTAGCCGCCCTCTGGGTCTCTCATCCTAGGTATAGACAGTTTATTTCTCCTGGGAACAGCCTCTGTTATTATTTATTTTTTTAATTTCTTGCCAGAGGGCACGTGCGCTCACCAGGGATAGAGAGTGAGAGGAAGCATCCCCAGCGCAGTCCCTTCTCCGTCCTGTCAGGATTTGGGACGTGCACGCACATAGGTCCAGCGTGTTTCTCAAGCCCCCGTGGTCAGGATCTAAACCGCGGCTGGCCATGCAGGAGCTGGCTCCCAGCGCGCAGTGCTTAACCACTGTACTACAACACCCACCCGGCCTCTGCTTTTAGAGAAGAAATGCCTGGAACCTCACTTTGCAGTAAACAGACCAATGTAGAAAATGAGTCTTTTGGGAACCAGCAGTTAGCGTAATGGCTATATCGCTGGATTCCCACGTAGTCGACCGTGGTTCGCATCCTGGACCTGGTGACTTAAACTCACGCCGGACGCGTGTGCGTGCGTGCCCAAGATCCCGAGAGGAGAATGGAGGAGAAGGGATTGTGGCGTGACCATCCCCTCTGGGGGGTGATTTCTCACTTTCTGTCTCTCTGTCTCTCTCTGTCTGTCTGGCGAGCGCACGCGCCCTATAGCAAAAACCTCTCCAAAAAAAAGAAAGTAGGAAAATGAGTCTTTTGCCTTTCCTCCGCACTATGCCCTGCCTTGCTAGTGATCAAATTGAATGGCTCGGTTACTTTTTTGGCAAGAGGGATTAGGGGAGATCCTGGCGGGTGTGCCCTAGGGATGAGTTCATTAGCATTGTTTTGGCAGAACTCCGGGCAGCCTTGAATAAACAGAACAACAGAATCATTGTTGCCAACTTTGGGTTCCAGTGCTGAGGCCAGAGGTTGGAGTCAGGAGATTGTGTCTTGGAACCAGGCAATGCAGAAAGTGCCTCCTGTCACTAGCCCTAGTGGCACCTGAGGGCCCGTGGAAATGCAGAAACCCTCTGTTTTGCCAGCTGCTTGGGCAATGAATGCGGCTTGCAGCATCCAGCTTAGAGACTTAAAGACTGGGTGCCCACCTTCACTCCTGGTTACCGGTTCAGGGCGCTGAAGCTATTTTGCAAGTGAGCCAACTTGCACAGCGTGGTCCGAGGACAGCAGGGTCCTGGGCAGAGCCTGGCAGTTGCTGCAATCCTGCCCTCTACCCCCAGGAGCACCGAGGGCTGCTCTCGATCCGCTACCCCATGGAACACGGCATCGTCAAGGACTGGAACGACATGGAGCGCATCTGGCAATACGTCTATTCTAAGGACCAGCTGCAGACTTTCTCAGAGGAGGTAAGCATGCCGGTGTAGGGCACCCCCGTGCAGCATGCAAAGCTGGGACGAACCCCTACCCCAGAGATGAAGAGAGAAGAAGTGCTGAGAGCTTCAGGGTCTCACTGTGTGCCAGGGTCCAGGCCACTCTGGTCTAACTTTTACACTACCCCACTGACAGATAGGTGATATCGTCTTCATTTTATAAACAAGGAGACAGAAGTTTCCAAAAACCAAATAGCATTTGCAAGATCGCCCAGTGCATAAAGTTGTAGAATTGAGATTTAAACCCACATCTTTCAGAATTCAGAGTCTATGCCTATTAACTTTTTTTAAAAACAATTATTGTATTTAACTTTATTTATTTTAATTTGACCAGAGAAGGACAGAGTGAGAGAGAAAGAAAGCAAGAAAGCAAGCCGCCAGGTCCAGGACTCGAACCACAGTCGACTGTGTGAGAGTCCAGCACCCTTAACCACCATGCTACTTGCTGACCCCTATTAACATTTTTAATGAGCAAGTTTGTTATTGTTATTGGACAGGATCTCTCCACTGTAATACTCCATCCTGGCCTCACAATTAGCTAGGATTACAGGTGTGTACCACTGTGCCTAGCCTGTTAGGTTGGTCCAGGATCCAAACCCAGATCTGAACCCAGGCCTCCCATGTGCCCTCAGCCTGGCTCAGCAGTGCCCCGTTGTTTCCCTGCAGCTGAGCCTAAGCCCGTTTACTTCTAAGGAAGTAACTTGCAACTTCAAGGTTCAAAGGAAGGTGCATACTAGGTGTACCGACTCCAGGGGAGGGACGTTGTCAGGATTGAAAGCCATATTCAGTATTACAAACTAATTTTCTATCTTGAATGAAATTTGTAAGTATTTTATTATAATAATTATGAATTCTGAGCTTAGCAAAATCTTCTTGACAGGCAAGACACCTATATAAGAATCTTGGAGGTAATGGAGGGAAGTGAGGGGGTGGCAGCGAATGAGGGCAGAGTAAGGTCTTACGGGGGTATGAATTTGGAAAGTTGAGAAACCTACTGGGTAGGGCTAAGTGACAGGCCAAGCTTGCCTTTCTATCGGAAGGAGGCTGACAAAGGTCCCTTGGGCTCTCAAACCAGAAACGAAGGGGCTTCTCCCCCCCAGTGCTGATGAGAGCGGAAATGTGGCTTCCCCCTGACTGCCTCTGGTTCCTTTCCCCAGCATCCTGTGCTCCTGACTGAAGCGCCTTTAAACCCACGGAAAAACCGGGAACGAGCTGCTGAAGTTTTCTTCGAGACCTTCAATGTCCCGGCTCTTTTCATCTCCATGCAAGCTGTGCTTAGCCTGTGAGTAGCTGCCTGGCCTCTGAGAGGGAAAACAGTTCTTCAGCAGGCATGGCCACCTCTCCTTTAAATTGGTTCAGAGCAGCTGAGCAAAGGGTTAAAGATGGTGGGGAAGAGAGAGAGGCTTTTGCTGGAACTGAGCTCTGAGGCTTCTGCATTGAAACCAGCAGAGGGCAGGCAGCTGGGATTGAGAGCGCATCCCAGTCTTGGCGCTCTCTGTGGGTCTGGAGCCTGAGGCTCTGCTAGGCTCGCTGAGAAGGTCCCTGCGGTGTGCCCAAATGCTATACTTTGTCAGTGGCCACTCTGCCAGGTGCCCTGCTGGGCTGGTGATACAGCTCGATCTAAACGTCACCCTGTTCCTGCAAGCATAACCTGCCCTTCCTGTCACCCTGCCTCACACCAGGGCTAGGTCTACTGTAGGGATTGCATACTCATCACCTGCAGATGGGATCTCAGGGACCCCATTAAGAAATTGTGAGTCAGCATTTAAAAACTGGGAGTTACTGGACCAGCAGATGGCGTAATGGTTGCATCACTGGACTCCCATGTAGTTGAGCATGGTTCGAGCCCCAGACCTGGTGGCTTGAAACTCATGCCAGGCACATGTGCATGCATGCCCAAAATTCCGAAAGGCAAATGGAGAAGGGACTGAAGTGTGTCCATCTACAGGAGGTGATTTTTCACTTTCTGTCTCTCTCTGTCTCTCGGCAGGCACATGCACCCTATAGCGAAAATCTCTCTTAAAAAAAAGAAAAAGTTGGGAGTTATCAGGCCAGCCAGGTGGCATGGTGGTTAAGGTGACTCGATCCCACATTGTCGACTATAGAGTTCAAGTCCTGGACCCAGTGACTTGAAAAACATGCCAGGCATATGTATGTACTTGCCCAAAATCCCAAGAGGAGAGTGAGAAGGGATTGCAGGTGGCCATTTCCCTGGGAGATGCTTTTTTACTTTTCCTCTGTCTGTCCCTCTTTCTCTGGCAAGTCCATGCACCCTGTAACAAAAAAGGCGGGGGAGGGGGGGCTATTATATTAAAATCCAAATTTCTGGCTTTTCTGAAGTAAGTGGGAAGATTTTATAACGCTGGGCTCGTATTCCTAGAGAGGTGCCTAGCAGCTGGCATTTTAGAGATGGGGCTCGGAAGCCTGACTCCCCATTTGTCCTCCCAACACTGAGGCAGAGTATCGGGTATAGTTTATCAAATGCTGTGAAGTTTTCCCAGCCTTACACAGAAACACACGTCTGTACTCTCGACTCTACCAAGAGAGAGAAAGCTTAAGACAGACCTAGAAAGCCATCTGGGGAAACTGGCTTTTATTTATTTGTTTTTCAAGGTTTTTGCCGCAGGGAGTGAGCATGGCAGCAGGCAGTGGCGGTTAGAGTGCCGGACTCCCACAGGGAAGCTAGCTTTCTTGAGGGAGAGATTTTTGCTGTAGGGTGCGTACACTCGCTAGTGTTGAGTGGATTCCGCATGCACTTGTGAATGAGGGATTGGGTTGCGTGCTGAAACAAGAGCACCTCCTCTTTTGATTTTAACCCAAAGAGGAATTATACGCATCTGAATTCCGAGAACTAAAAGGATAATGAAGAATCAAGTGTCTCACTGGTATAAGCAGAATAGGTGAACAAAATGGCTAGTAGAATAAAAAATCAAAAGAGGACCCTATTCTCATAGTGAATACAGTAACATGATACTTGTTACACTTAGAGAGATTGAACTTTGGATAAATTTAAAGTGAAGTATCCTAGCAAAATTTTTTTTAAACATTTGCCCATAGCTTTCACACATCAGGGCTGTCATAAAACCTGCTATATCTGTGAGGTATTTATTCCCATTCTAAAGGATTTAGGGGATGGTGTTTTTTTTATTTATTTATTTATTTATTTATTTAGAGAGATTTTTGCTATAGGGTGCATGTGCTCACTAGAGAGACAGAGAGAGACAAAAAGTGAGAAGTCACCCCCAGAAGGAATGGCCACACCTCAATCCCTTTTCATCCATTTTCCTCTTGGGATTTTGGGTGCACACACACACATGTGCCCGGTACAAGTTCCAAGCCTCTGGGTCAGGGACTTGAACTGTAGTCAGCCATGTTGGAGTCCAGCAACATAACCATTATACCATCTGCTGGGTCCAGACGGTGAACTTTTTGAGGGACTACTCAAATATCTTTTTTTGAGAGGTTTTTGCTATAGGGTGTGTGCACTCACTGGAAAGAGAGAGAGAGAGAGACAGAAAGTGAGAAATCATCCTACCAGGGGGATGGCCACGCCACAATCCCTTCTCCTTCATTCTCCTTTCAAGATCTTGGGCACGCATGCACACGTGCCCAGCCTGAGTATAAGCCACCAGGTCCAGGACTCGAACTGCAGTTGACCACATGGGAGTCCAGTGACATAGCCATTGTGCCAACTGCTGGTCCCAATGGATGTGTTCTTTTTTTTTGGAGAGGTTTTTGCTATAGGGCGCGTGCGCTCGCCGGACAGACAGAGAGAGACAGAGAGATAGAAAGCAGGAAATCACCCCCCAGGGGGGATGGCCACGCCGCAATCCCTTCTCCTCCATTCTCCTCTTGGGATCTTGGGCACGCACGCACACGCGCCCGGCGTGAGTTTAAGCCACCGGGTCCGGGACTCGAACCGCGGTCGACTACGTGGGAGTCCAGCGACATAGCCATTACGCTAACTGCTGGTCCCCAGAAACTAGCTTTTTATGAAAGTGAAAATATCCTTACATCCCTGTACTCATTTGCTGTTCCCTCCTGGCCCCTACAGGTACTTGGGGCTTTCTGTCTGGTCTAGAGAGTTAGAACTGCCCTTAGGCCAGGTCCCTGAAGCAGCGGAAGGCCAGGCGGTCTCCTCAGACTGTAAGGCTGCTCCTCTGGGAGTTGGGGAGGGAACCTGGCAAAGCCCAGCTTTCGCTCGGGTATTTTGAGGCTTCCTTAGTGACCCTCGGGCCTCAGTGCTCAGTCCATTCTAAGGACCTGGGGATAAGCAGGCCCAAGCTTCAGGTTAGCCAACCTTGAACTCTAGGAGGAAGGGAGTTTCTTGGCAGTAAGGAGGTGCGGGTAGTGATGGTTTGCCCTCTTCGCTTCAGTTACGCCACAGGCAGGACCACGGGCGTGGTGCTGGATTCTGGGGATGGCGTCACCCACGCCGTGCCCATTTATGAGGGCTTCGCCATGCCCCACTCCATCATGCGCATCGACATCGCGGGCCGGGACGTCTCCCGCTTCCTTCGCCTCTACCTGCGTAAGGAGGGCTACGATTTCCACTCATCCTCTGAGTTCGAGATTGTCAAGGCCATAAAAGAAGTGAGTGCTGTCCTGGGCCTGGGGAAGGGTGGGAAAGGGGGCCGGCCAGTGAAGGCAGGCACAGCTCTGCCTGGGGTTCTTCTCAGGCTCTGTCCTGCCCAGCCAGGCTTCCCGACAGCTGTGTGAGCGCCAGCCGGCCCCTCCCTCCGAAGTGCTGCCACCTGGGAGGGGGCAAGAGAGCTGCTTCCATTTCCTAAGTTGGGTGGTGTGTACACAGGGGCTGGAGATGGACTGTGACTCTGTACAAGTCACACAGGTGACCCGTACGTCTCAGAAGCAGTCATAACACATTCATCTCTTTAAGTAAACTGACCCCTCCTGCCACCTATGGCTCTGGGAAACCTCCGAGCGGGATAGGAGGGACCCAGAACTGCATGGGAGGGAGAAAGAGAGAGATGCCTGGGCCTGCACTGAGTTAGGTTGTGGTCTCAGAGCCGGGATCCAGGGAGCTCATTTCCAAGTTGCCCACGGGGCGGGTGGAGCAGGTAAGAACTCGTACCCTAAATGCCACCAGAGACAGCTGACTTCCAGGCAGTCCTGCTCCCAGGCAGCAGCTCTACGCCCCCCAGGGCCACTGCTACCAACGGGCAGGTTTCTGCAGCAGCACGTCACTCCCCTGGGGCTTCGGCTGGGTATGTGCCCGTCCTGCCGGCCTGACTGTTGTGCTTGGTTCTGCAGAGAGCCTGCTACCTCTCCATAAACCCCCAGAAAGACGAGACACTGGAGACAGAGAAGGCTCAGTACTACCTGCCCGATGGCAGCACCATTGAGGTAGGTGGCCGGGCCTCTCGCCTCCGTCCCCTCAGACCCGTAGGCGCCCTGGGTCCAAATAGAGCTACCCATGGGGACTGGAGTCCAGTGGGCTGGTCCCTTCCACGCTCTGTCTGGAGCAGTGGGGCTCCTGGCAGCACAAGTGGCCCTGTCTGCTGTGCAGGAGGCAGCGGGGACTTGGCTCCTTCTGTGTGGAGGAGAGGCGGCTCCAGAGGGGTTTCCCTAGGCAGTAGGGGCATAGGAAACGGGATGGTTACTTCTGTCCTTAACCTCCCCGGGCGCAGGACAAGGGGAGTGGCCGTGCCCCGGAACACTCACTGACAGGAAGAAATTCCCGTGAGTGATTGAGTCGATGTGCAGTTGGCCCTCCGTGTCCGCAGGCTTCACATCTGTGGATCTGACCTACTGTGTGTGGCAAGTGTCTGTGGGAATAGGAACTGGCCGCATCAGTGCTAGACGTGTCCAGACTTTTATTTGTCATTACTCCCTAAACCGCACAGTATAACAAGTATTCAACAGCGTCTGCGCCGTATCTGCTGTTCTAGTGCATAGGTGCCTTCAAGGTGCACGGAGGATGTGCGCGGGCTGTGAGATGAACACTTCTTCCTTTTTTAGTTTTTTGCTATCGGGCACATGCACTCGACAGAGAGAGAGAGTGAGAGAGCACCCTCCCCCAGGGGATGGCCATGCCACAATCTCTTTTTTATGAGAAATTTTTGTGCTATTGACCACGTGCACTCACTGGAGAGACAGAGAGACATAGAGACAGAAAGAGAGCAATCACCCCCCAGGGGAGATGGTCACGCCACAATCCCTTCTCCTCCATTCTCCTCCCGGGATCCTGGGCACGCACGCACATACACCTGACATGATTTTGAAGCCGTCAGGTCTGGGACTTGAACTGTGGTCATCCACGTGAGAGTCCAGCAACATAACTGCTACACCATCTGCTGGTCCCAACACAATCCTTTCTCTATGGACGGTGGACGTGTGCACATATGCCCAGCTTGTTTTACCAGTCACCAGGTACGGGATTCAAACTGCACAGTCGGCTATATGGGATCCAGCCATCTTTTTTTTTTTTTTTTTTTTTGAGAGCTTTTTGCTATAGGGCGCGTGCACTCGCCAGACAGACAGAGAGAGACAGAGAAACAGAAAGCGAGAAATCACCCCCCAGGGGGGATGGCCACGCCATAATCCCTTCTCCTCCATTCTCCTCTCAGGATCTTGGGCATGCACGCACACGCACCCGGCGTGAGTTTAAGCCACCAGGTCCAGGACTCGAACCGCGGTCGACTACATGGGAGTCCAGCGACATAGCCATTATGCTAGCTGCTGGTCCCGGGATCCAGCCATCTTAATACCATGCCAGCAGCTAACCAGTAGTACACCATTTTCTATAAGGGACTTGAACATCCTGGAGCTTTGGTACCCACAGAATCCTGCAGCCAGTCCCCTGGGGATACTGAAGGGCGACTGTATTAATGCCAAAGATCTGCTAGCTGGAAAATGCCAGAGCAAGGATTAAATGTAGGGATGTCCTTTCTCTAGTTTCCCGGGGATGCTGTTAGCGTCTTTGTTCCCTGCCTGTCCCTAGGACCTCTGGGTTTGTTCTGGAGGCCCCTGACTGCCTGTCTTGAACCTGGCCTTCCTAGCACCTGTGAATGAAGAAATAGGCAGAGGGCCCTCTTCCATTCCCACCCCTAGAGGGACCTTCTCCCCACCCCAACCTCTTAAGCTGGCCTTGCCCCTGCAGATTGGTCCTTCCCGATTCCGTGCCCCTGAGCTGCTGTTCAGGCCAGACTTGATCGGCGAGGAGAGCGAGGGCATCCACGAGGTCTTGGTGTTTGCCATCCAAAAGTCCGACATGGACCTGCGGCGTACACTCTTCTCCAACATCGTCCTGTCGGGAGGCTCCACCCTGTTCAAAGGTTGGTCTTGGCTTTGGTCCCTCCCTGGAAGATTCTAGTTCCTGCTGGGCCCAGGCACTCAGGAAATTGACTTGAGATTCTTCTTTTCTGCCCGTCTAGGTTTTGGTGACAGGCTACTGAGTGAAGTGAAGAAACTGGCCCCAAAAGACGTGAAGATCAGGGTAGGAGCATGGCAGGGGCTGGGCTGGGAGGAGCTGACTCCAGGGGTCTGGAGTCCAGGGATCTGGCCGTGGTGTGGCCTCCCTCTGGCACCATGTGAGCTCCCCCTGTGGAGTGCAGGTGGCTCCCAGCTTAGCTTAAGTCTGCCAGAGGGAGGGCCCACCTGTTTCCCTCTTCTCTCAAAGGCAGGCAGTTCTTTTTTTTTTTTTCTTTTTTCTTTTTTGAGAGAGAGACTTTTGCTATAGAGTGCATATGCTCACCAGACAGACAGAAAGCAAGAAACTCCCCTCCCCCCGCCCCCGGGGGATAGGCACAATCCTTTCTCCTCCATTCTCCTCTCGGGATCTTGGGCATGCACACACACACATCCAGTGTGAGTTTCAAACCTCCGGGTCCAGGACTCAAACCGCGGTCGGCCATGTGGGTGTTCAGCACCTTAACCACTATGCCACTTTCTGGCCCCAGACAGGCGGATCTAATGCCCAGACGTGGTGGTGTACAAAGCCGCTTAGCAGGAGGTTGACTTTCACTGCTGCTGTGCTCCCTGCCCAGGTGGCTCCTCAGAGGCAGTTTGACCCCTCAGTGGCTGCCTGAGGGGGAGAGGGATCTTGGATGAAGGAGTCTGCATCCCCCAGCCCCCCAGGTGGCCCCAGCTTCCCGGGGAGCTGTAGACAGGCAGGGCTGCTGGACTTGCTGCCCCAGATGAGTGTCGGGTCACCGCAGTCCCCTGCAGAGAGGAGGCAGGGTCCTGCAGGGGCCGAGCAGAAAGCCTGCTGTCGGCGACAGCGCTGCCTCCGGTGTGGAGATGGCGCCAGGAGGGAGAGGAGAGGGGAGCTGGGATCTCAGGGCCCTCTTCCCACTCACCTCTGCAGATATCTGCGCCTCAGGAGAGACTGTATTCCACGTGGATCGGGTGAGTAGCTCTTCTGGGAGTAAGACCAGAACAGGAAGCGAATGCACGGATTTCCCCTCTCCACCCCATCCCTTTAAAGGAAAACTAGGTCTGGTGTGGCCCCAGGGGGACCGGTGGGCCCACAAATACCCACTGTCCTTCTCACGCTGTTTCTCCGGGTCCCCACCACAGCGGCTCTATCCTGGCCTCCCTGGATACCTTTAAGAAGATGTGGGTCTCCAAGAAGGAATACGAGGAAGACGGTGCCCGGTCCATCCACAGGAAAACCTTCTAATGCTGGGACATCGTCTTCACCTCTCTCTGAAGTTAACTCCACTTTAAAACTCGCTTTCTTGAGTCGGAGTGTTTGCAAGGAACTGCCTATGTGTGTGAGTGCGTGTGTGGGTACGAGTGCGCATATGCGACTGCCATGTGGCCCAGGGGTACCTGGGCCCAGAAAGGACGATGAACGACCCACGCTGGCGATGGTCTGAGGCCCGGGGTTGACCACTAACGGCCCTGACAGGGACAAGCGCTGGCAGAGGCCCCACTCCTTCCTCGGCGGGGCCTTCGGCTGTATGGGACTGTGTCTGCTACCACCGGGAGACCTTGCTGCTGCCCATCCTAGGCTGGGCCGGCCCCACCCCATCCCCAGCCCCCAGGGTGCCCTGAGGCCCAAGGCAGCGGCGCCTCCCCTTGCTCATCATCCTGCTGTCCATGCCTCCTGGTCGTGGTCCCGGGGCTGGGGCCGGGGCGGGGCTGGGACTGGGGCTGGGGCTGAGGCGAGCTAGTCTGCTTTTGTTGCAGTTTCTGTTTGGAGGGTTGGAAGAACACTCCGAGAGCCGTTACGGGGACCCTGGGGTCAGCAGAGAGCAGAGTGCCCTTATGTCCACCTGGGTACCAGGACCAGAGCGGGCATTTGTGGAGGACAGGAATAGCACTACTTATGATTGGCTGCAGAGTTCATGCTCCCATCCAGGGCGCTTGGGAGAGCTGAAGGAGTCTGTTGGCTCCAAGTCCTGTTCTTTGCTTTTTCTCCATCCTTGTTTCATGCCATCTTCAACAGTTTTATTTATTGCAGTGTTTGTTCAGCAAGGAGACTGGGGGGGGGGCCTCACCCCTGCTCACTAGTCACCGTGTTCACACTAATGTTTACACACCTGAGCTAGCGCAGCTTCCCGGGCCCTGGACAGCCTGCTGCTGCGGCACGGTATCCGTAGGCCTCAGGGCCATGTGGGGTTGGAAGCTGCACTCAGGTGCTCCGTCCAGCCTCATTCATTCTCCCTGTTCCACTTGCTTGCCACCCTGGAATCAACAGGCTGGCTGCTGGCTGCATCTTATAAAAAGAGATAGAACCACTCCTCAGCAGAGGTCCTAGCAAAGGAGAGGTGTCAGAGATCCAGTCCCCTTAGGACGGGAGAAAGCCGCAGTTAACCAAGTTGCCTTTTGCCGTGCCAGCTGACCAGGGGGCCAGGTTGTAGAGGTGGGGAGCCTCCCTCTGAGCTGATCTTGTGCCATTCTGGACTTGGGGCCTGTTTGGTTAGGGAGGGAGGAGGCCAGACCAGAGTGCCAGGAGCCGATGGGCTCAGGCCTGGTTCCTAGCAGTGGTCCAAAGGCCCTTTGGCCCAGTTGCTACAAATCTGGGCTGGCCTGTCTTCATCGGCACCTTCACCCATGACACCAAGACCCACCCTGGTCCCAGATTCCAGTCAGTATTCTCCCTCACGCCGTCCTATGACCAAAGGCCCCTGCCAGATGTGGGCCGTAGCAGCAGGTGTGTGTGAAAGCAGTGTGGCGAGCCGCGGACTGCAGTGCGCTTAACCAGCTCACTCCTTCTCTTAGCCCAAGCCTGTCCCTCGCACAGCCTCGCACAAACCACGTTGCCTGGTGGGGCCCAGTGTACTTAAATAAAGTCGTTCCGAGAGACATGTGGGCTGGTCTCTGTCTGTAGCCAGTTTGGGGGGTGAGGGGCTGCGGTCCCTGAATCTGAGGCAGTGACTGGGCCTAGACCGTCTTCTACAGGGCATTATTGCTCCCACCAGACTCAGCCAGGTCATAGCCAAGTCCTAGCCAGCCAGGGGATGCAGAGAAAATGGTCACACCTGAGCCTAGGTTTAAGCCCTGAGGGTGCCAGCGTGTACACTCCGAAGCCCGTGGGTGAGGCTCGACTCCAAATGAGAGCAGCTCTCGACTTTCCTTAAACCAGAGGCTCTTAAAACTCTGGGGTCAGAAGGTGACACGGAGATTGAGGTGCTGGATCTCACACAGCAGACTCTGCGGTTAAAGATCTGGACCTGGCAGCTTGAAAATCATACTGGGGGTGTGTGCATGCATGCCCCAAATCCTGAGGAGAGTGGAGGAGGGAGTGTGGTGTGTCCATCCCCTCTGGGAGGTGATTTCTCACTTTCTATCTCTCTGTCTCTCTCTCTCTGTCTGGCAAGTGCATGTGCCCTATAGCAAAAACCTCTCCAAAGCCGGGGTGGGGGGGGAAGCCCTGTAAACTGTGGGGTCAGCAGGGGGCATGGAGCTTAAAGCACTGGATCCTACATGGCCGACTGCAGAGTTCGAGTTCCAGACCCAGAGCTTGAAAATTGCACTGGGTGCATATGTAAATGTGCCCATAATACCAAGAGGAGCAGGGAAAGGGGACAGCGTCATGGCCATCCCCCTCAGGGGGTGATTTATTCTCATTTTCCTTGTCTCTGGAGATGGCTCATGCCCTAGAGAAAACGTGTCTAAGAAGCTGGGGAGCTTATTGAAGTGCAGCTTCTAGGGCCGACATTCAGATATCCTGATTAATCATTTCTACATCTTCAATCTGCACTTGGGTGGAAAATTGCTGTGTGCTTGGCAAATGCTAACCTATTTAATCTTCCCAACCTTATACTTCGTAGGGTTGCTTTTTCTTTTTTTTTCAATTGAGGTTTTTTTTTTTTCCCTCCCTTTGTAAGTTTGTTACAGGGCACATGTGCTTGCTGGAGAGAGGGAAAGTGAGAAATCAAATCACCTTTCCCCAGAGGGGGGAGGATGGTCACACCACAATCCCTTCTTCATTTCCTCTTGGGATTCTGGGCACATGCGCACACTCTCCTTAACGTGTTCCCCAAGCCGCCGGGCCCAGGACTCAAACTGCCTCGATGCCAGCATTTTTCTTTCCTTCTGTTTTTTTTTGAGTGTTTTTTTTCTTTTCTATAGGGTGTGTGTGTTTGCCAGAAAAACAGACAGAGAGACAGAAAGCGAGAAATCACCCCCTGAGGGGATGGCCACACCGCAATCCCTTCTCTTCCATTCTCCTCTCGGGATCTTAGGCACGCACGTACACGCACCTGGCATGAGTTTAAGCCACCGGGTCTGGGACTCGAACCGTGGTCGACTACATGGGAGTCCAATGACACAGTCATTACACCAACTGCTGGTCCCGATGCCAGCATTTTTTAAAGCTCTCCAGGTGATTCCAAGGCCGAGACCCTCTGACTGAGAAGAGGCTCCCTTTCTCTGAGCACCGTGTCCAGCGTGTGGCAAATGTGCTGGTGCCGCCAGCTCAGCCTGATCGTCCTTGTGGTCCCCAGTGCCCAAGCTGCTCCCAGTCGGCATTTTCTCCCTAGCACCTCAGTGAGCCTGATACTATAGCCTACCCCGCACTCTCAGGAGAACGCCCTCGGGGCACTTTCTCCACACACCCTCATTCCAGTGAGGAGCCCGTTCCCACCCCACCAGCCCACGGCTCACAGGGCACAGGCTGACGACTGGAATGACTGACTTTAATTAATCCAGTGCAATGAGAGGAGTCCTGCAGCAGGGGGTGCACTACTTCAAGCACAGCTGAAGCAGAGAACCCTCTGAGAGAAACTCCTAGAAGGCAGGGAGGAGGGGGCAGTGGGGACTTATGACGAGCTTTCCAGCTGGGCAAATGGCGCAGTTGCAGCGTCAGAACCTGTTCCTGAGCCCACCTGAGTGGTCAGCCCCGTCAGAACCTGTCCCTGAGCCCACCCGAGTGGTGGGCCCTGGCCAGGCAGCAGAGAGGCCTCCAGGCCCTGGGGCAGCCCCCCCTTCTTGGTCCTCTTCCTCCTGCCTATGAGGAAGCAGGTCCCTGAGCACACAGCGCCAGCCCTTGCCCATGCTGAGCCCGACAGCCAAGCGGGGACTCAGCCCAGTGACCCTCCTGGTTCGGCCCATGGTCTCCCGCGCTGCCCACTGTCCTCCAGGCAGGCAGTAGTGGCTCCTGCCCTAGGCTGCAGGCAGCGTCCTCAGTAGGGTGGCCTTACAGCACCTCTCACACCATCTTAACGTCTAGGGTTTGGGCCTGTGACAGGTGCTGGCGCTGGGCCTTGACCATGTGCAGGCGTGTCCCGTGCAGCGTGAACTGGGACCAGGTGAAGAGCTGCAGCAGAGCACAGGTGATGGGCACCAGCACCAGCAGGTAGAAGCAGCCCTGGCGGAGAGCTGGGGCCTGGGCAGGGGCCGGGGCGGGGGGCTCTGGCCAGGGCTGGGCACTGCCCACAGGGGTCCTTGGCGGCTGCTGGAAGAGGTCATGACCTAGGACAACAGAGCACATGAAGACACGGTCAGGTCAGTTCCCTCCAAAGTCCACGTGTGATATCTCAAACATCCCACAGGCATGTCCAAACCACAACTCTAATTTTTTTTTTCCTTAAGAGAGATTTTTGCTCGGGACCAGCAGTTAGCCTAATGGCTATGTCGCTGGACTCCCACGTAGGCGACCACGGTTCGAGTCCCAGACCCGGTGGCTTAAACTCACGCCGGGCATGTATGTGTGCATGCCCAAGATCCCGAGAGAAGAATGAAGGAGAGGGGACTGTAGCGTGGCCATCCCCCCTGGGGGGTGATTTCTCGCTTTCTGTCTCTCTGTCTCTGTCTGGCGAGCGCACACACCCTATAGCAAAAACCTCTCCAAAAAAAGAAAAAAGAGAGAGATTTTTGCTCTAGGGTGCATGTGTTCGCTGAAGAGACAGAGAGAGACAGAGACAGAAAGTGAAATATCACCCCCCAGAGGGGATGGTCCTGTCGCAATCCCTTCTCTTCCATTCTCCTCTTGGAATTTGGGGCATGCACAAACAGGTGAGTTTTAAGACACCAGGTTCAAGACTTGAACCATAGTCGACCACATGAGAGTCTAGCAACGTAACCATTATGCCATCTGCTGGTCCCTCTTTTTAAGTTTTTTTTTTAACTTTATTCGTGATAGAACATCCCTGCGTGAGAGAGAGGCCCTCAACAGATTCTGGCCATTCCCGACCCCCGTCCCCATGCTCCGTTTGTCAGGCTCCTGCATGTTTTTCTCAGGCTGACTCAGTATCCAAATCCGCAATTGGCCAGGTGGCTTCCAGCGGGTTCCTACCTGCACCACGGAGGCTGGGCCAAGCCGCAACTCTCGCTTCCTCCCTCACACCCACTCCTCTCTCCTTGCCTTCCCAGTGGAGAGTACATTATCCACTGAAGACTCAGGCCCCACACCTCGAAGACTTCCTGGATTCCTCAATAACTTACCATTCCCCCAAATCTAGTCCTTCATCTCCCCCAACTCCAAAACATAGCCCCCGCCCAGCCTGGGCCAAGCCTCACGGCCTCTGCCACAGCCTCCCAGTGCTATGTCCCTGTGCCCACCCTGCACTCTTATGACCTCATCCAGCAGCCAGGGTGAACTTTTCTTTAGGTTTTTGCCATAGAGTGTATGTGCTCGCCAGAGAGAAAGAGAGAGGGAAAGTGAGAAATCCCCCCCTCCCCCCCCCCGCGGGATGGCCACACGCACGCACATGCGCCTAGCCTGAGTTTCAAGCTGCAGGGTCCCAGACTCAAACAGTGATTGGCCATATGGAAGTCCAGAACCTTAACGACGCCACCTTCTGGCCCCCAAGATGAACTTTTAAAAGCATCTGTCGGGACCAGCGGGTGGCATGGTAATAAAGGCACTGAATTCCCCCATTGCCAACGGTGATTTGAGTCCTGGAACTGGTGGCTGGCTTTCTCACTTCCCCTCTCTCTGTCTCTCTCTGGTGAGTACATGTGCCCTATAGCAAATTAAAAAATGATAATAATAATAGTAATTAATAAAATGAAATAATTCTAAAAAAAAGTCTTTCAGGGCCAGCCCATGGCATAGTGATTAAGGGGCTGGATTCCACATGGCCAGCTACACAGTTCAAGCCATCAGGTCTTGAAAAACACAGAGGGCGGGACCAGCAGTTAGCATAATGGCTATGTCGCTGAACTCCCATGTAGTTGACCACAGTTCGAGTCCCGGACCCGGTGGCTTAAACTCAGCCAGGCGCATGTGTGTGCATGCCCAAGATCCCGAGATGCGGTGTGGCCATCCCCCCTGGGGAGTGATTTCTTGCTTTCTGTCTCTCTCTGTCTCTCTGGCAAGCGCACGTGCCCTATAGCAAAAACCTCTCAAAAAAGGAAGGAAGGAAGGAAGAAAGACAGACAGACAGACAAACACAGAGGGGACCAGCAGATGGCATAATGGTTATGTCACTGGACTCCCATGTAGTCGACTGCAGTTCAAATCCTGGACCCAGTGGCTTAAAACTCACATTGGGTGCATGTGCATGCCCAAGAACCCAAGAGGAGAATGTTGAAGGGATTATGGTGTGGCCATTCCCCCTATGGAGTGATTTCTTGCTTTGTCTCCCCAGAAAAGGCCTTAAAGAAAAAACCTCTCTTAAAAAAAAAAAAAAAAAGAGAGAAAGAAAGAAAAACACGCTAGGAGGGGCTTCCAGGTGGTGTGATGGTTAAGGCATGAACTCCCACATGGCTGACCACAGTTTGAGTCCCAGACCTGGTAGCTTACTTTCTCACTTTCCCTCTCTCTGGTCAACTAGGTAAGAAATAAGCTCCATGATGGCAAAGACAAGCCTGTCTTCGCCATGGCTGTTTTCCAGTCCTAGAGCAGTGCCTGCACAGGGACAGTATTCTGTACCCATGTACTGACTGACTGAATGAATGAACTAATGAAAGAACGGAGGGGAGCCAGCAGGTGGCATGGTGGTTAAGGGCGCTGGACTCCTACATAGCTAACTGTGATTTGAGTCCTGGACCTGGCGGCTTGCTTTCTCTCTTTCTTTCTCTCTCTCTCATGCTCACTCTGTCCCTCTCTGGTCAAATTAAAATAAATAAATAAATCTAAATAAAATAAGTCTTTTTTAAAAAAAGAAAGAAAGAAAGAAAGAGAGAGAAAGAGAGAGAGAGAGAAAGAATAATGGAGGATTCAGAGACCCAGTTCTTCCATGTGGGGCGGGGCTGAGGAAGGGTAGCAGCCCATGGCAGCCCAGGCCCAGCTGGTTCTCCTGCTTACTCACTGGACCCAGGCTTGCCAACTGCTGTGCCAGATAAGCTGTACCCCTGGAGCCTCAGAGCCCTCTGCCAGCCCCTGGGCACTCACCTGTGTAGAAGCAGAGCAGCCAGGTGCCCAGCAGGGGGGCAAAGGTCTGGCCTGGTTTGGTTACCAGGGCAACCATACCAAAGAGGAGCGCGGAGGCCGCCTGCTTGCGGTGGTTCAGCACCAGGTCCTCGTCCACCAGGTCAGTGACCACCAAGGTCAGCAGCTTACAGGTGCCCTCAGTGAAGACACGGTTGCTGCGGCAGAAGGAGAGCAGGCTAGGGTGAGGCCACGGGATGGAGGCAGGGGGCGGAGGTGGGCAGGCACTCACCTGGCAATGAATAGGCAGAGCAGGCTGGCGTGGTCCGGGCCAGCCAGCAGCATGAGCAGGCTAAGGCCCAACTTGAGCAGGAAGAGCCCCCGCACCACAGCGTAGACACCCCAGCGCCGGCAGAGGGGCAGGAAGTAGAGGTTGTTGAGATGGGGAGCGACGTAGGAGATGCCTGGGGAGGGAAAAGAGGTGCTGCCGGGTCGGGCGCTGCAGCAGCTTCAGCGCTGAGCAACATGGAACACGAGTGATGCGCTAGGCAGTCACATTCTTTGTTCACAACACTTAAAGGTAAGGACTGTTATTATCCCTATGTTACAGACAAGAAGGGGAGGTCCAAAGAGGTTAAATTGTTATATTGAGGTCGGCAGGTACATGGTGGTTAAGGTGCTAGATCCCACATGGCCGATGCTACAGTTCGAGTCCTGGACCCAGAGGCTTGAAAATCATGCCAGGAGTGTGTGCATGCATGCCCCGAATCCCAGGGGCGGAATGGAGGGGAAGAGATTGTGGCATGGCCATCCCCTCCGTGGGGAGGGATGGATTTCTCACTTTCTCTGTGTGTGTCATTCCTCTCTCTCCCTGGACAGCACACATGCCCTATGGCAAAAACCCCTCCCCCAAAAGAAAAGAAAACAAAGGGGTTAAATAACACACCCAAGGTCATGCAGAACATAAGTAGATTCCAGACTCTCACTTAGCCTACTGGACTAGTCAAGACTGCTAACCGGGCACTGCACCGCATCGCCTCTGGGTGGCACTATCACCACGAGGATCAACCTGACGGCAGCCCTACCACCATGCCCACACTACCGCCATGCCCACACTACCGCCATGCCCACATCGCTGGTTATGATCGCTCAGCTAGGTCCACTGCAGACTCACGCCCACCCTCTGCCACCTAGATCCCAGGATGTGAGGCTGCCTGCCTGCAACAGGGCTGGAAGTCCTGGGGTGCAAGTCTCCATCCTCCAGCCTGCCCAAGGCACTCACCCAGCAGGAAGGAGCCAGTGGAAAGGGAGATGTGGTCTGACAACAGATGCTCCAGGAAGAGAGGGAAGAAGTTGCTGTTGAAGTGGCAGTGGAAGACCTGCAACCCACACACAGGCGCAGTGAGGAGGCTGCCGGCTGGCTGGCCGGGTAGAGTGAAGCCCACCCCATGCACCTCTCCCCGCTCCCCAGAGCAGCGAGAGAGAGAGCAGGCCTTTATCCTCATTGCTCTAAACGTGGAGCATGCCAGAACAAAACCTAAAACCATTCCTGTGCTTAGCCAATTTTGCTAAAAGTTAGAAGGGACGGGCCAGCCAGTGGCATGGTGGTTAGGGTGGCTAGACTACATGGGTACCAACTGTGACCCAGCAGCTTGAAAAACACACCAGGCATGTGTGCACACATGCCCAAGATCCAAAGAGGAGAATGGAGACGGGTTTGTGGAGTTGCCATCACCCCGAGAGAGAGCTTCTTACTGTCCCCACTGTCTTTGTCTCTCTGGGGAGTGCATGTACCGTATAGCAAATTTAAAATAATAATAATAATAATAATAATAATAATAATAATAATAATAATAATAAAGAAGGGATGATAAATGGTACTTGGAGAAATTCCCAGTTTTCACTGGGCCAGCTGTGGTGACAGAGACGGGAGGGCACTGCTGTTTAACCTCGGAGCCACACAGAAGGCCCAGGCTCAGATCCCAGACCAACGGAAGGGTGTCGGTTGACAGCGTGGCACGCATCTGTGGTGTTGGCTGACGGGGCAGAGGGGCACAGCATGGTGAGACCTAGTCAAAAAATACCTATTTCTCTCCCTCTCATCCAAAAAAAAAAAAGAAGAGGGACCAGCAATTGGCGTAATGGTTATGTCGCTGGACTCCCATGTAGTCGACCGTGGTTCGAGTCCCAGACCCGGTGGCTTAAACTCACGCCAGGTGCGTGTGCATGCGTGCCCAAGATCCCGAGAAGAGAATGGAGGAGAAGGGATTGCGCATGGCCATACCCCCTGGGGGGTGATTTCTCACTTTCTGTCTCTCTGTCTCTCTCTGTCTTTCTGGGGAGCGCGACCACCCCACTAGCAAAAAAATTTAAAAAAAAAAAAAAAAAAAAAAAACAAGAAAAAAAGCAGCAGCAGCTTTAATTAAAAACTGCTCAGGCAGCAGGGTCCCAGCCAACCGTGCTGTTCAAGTCTAGAACCCAGAAGTCTGAGAAACACACCAGGCACGTATGCATGTGTGAACAAAATTCTACATGGAGGAAGAGTGGAGAAGGGATTTCTGCATGACCCATGGAGGGGTTCTCTCCCTCTCTCACTCTTACTCTCTTTCTCCCTCCCAAGCATACAGTGTGCACACAAAATTTTAAAGAAAGAAAGAAAGAAAGAAAGAAAGAGAGAGAGAGAGAGAGAACACCTTAGTAAACCAAGTTACATGACATGGAAGCTGCTTGTGTCTGAACGAGTTTACGTGACATACTGCATGTGTTCTAGGTGTGGTACTTAGTGTTCTAAAGGTCACCAGAGTCCCCAGAGAGGGCATGTCTCCTTCATATTCTCATTTTGCAGTTGAGGCCTGAGTGCCCAGACAGACTGGGGCCTGCCCACGCTCACGCAGAGGAGGGGCTCGGAGGGCGCTAAATCCAGGTCTAAGTGTGCAGCCTGGGCTCCTGTGGTTGAGTCACCCGCCATCATGCACAGCCCAGAGCCGAGTTCCCAGCTCCGAGGGACCTGTCCCCATCAGTGAGGCATACCCCAGCCATGGGGTGCGGGGCACTGCTCCCATACCTGCACCAGGTCCATGCCCACGAACCACAGGAAGTTCTGGTGGCACGCCAGCTGCCGGAGGTACTGGCCCAGGGTGATGCTACCCACTTCCTCGCTGCCCGCAAGCGGCTCCTCTCCACACAGGCTACGGGGCAGAAGGGAGTTGAGGACTACCTCGGACTGAGCCATGGGCACCCCCACCTCAGGGCAGCCACCAGCAGGCAGGGGACCCAACACTAAAATCAGACTCAGAGCAGTGCTGGCAGGGACCCAAAGAGCCAGGGCTGGCCACTCACCCGCCATCCACAGCCAGGCCTGAGCACCCCGGCTCCCTTCTGGCCGCCTCAACCCGCCGCCTCAGCAGTTGTGTGGCCCCCAGAAAGCCCAGCCCAGAGCCAACGGCCAGTGCCACACAGAAGGCGCGGAAGGAGGAGAAGTCCTCCTTGTTCCAAAAGGCGTAGGATGCAAAGACAGACAGGGAGCCAGCCGCGCTGAAGAGGGAGCAGTAGAAGTTGAGGTGGGTGCGGTCGTGGGCCGAGAGGGCCAGGTCGGCCAGCAAGGCGTGATGGTGCAGGTCCACGAGCGTCAGGAAGCCGTCATAGAGGCACAGGCACAGCAAGAACTGCAGGCCGGCAGGGGCCCAGGGCACCCAGAACGCCAGGAACGACAGCGCCAGCAGCGGCCCATGCCAGCCCAGTGCCCGCACCCGTGTCAGCACCACAGCCCTCGAAGAGAGCCCGGCGCCTGACCTGCCAGGGAAAGGGGGTGTTGGGAGATACGCTTTCAGCCTCAGCAGCCCCCAGTTCCCTTGCCCAGGCCCCAAACGATGGACAAGGCCCAGAGCTTGGCACTCGCACCACGGGGGTCCCACTGCACCCCAAGTCCCCAGTTTCCCATTTAGGAAGCACAATCACCAGGGGCTTCACCCCCACCCCCGCCGCCCCAATCTCCTCCCTTACCAGGAGGCATCAGACTGATGGCGCAAGGGGGCTGGGATACCCACTTCCCAAGGTAGGGCTTGGTGGGCCCAGGCAGGGAGGGGCAGAGGACTGTCCCAAGGGGTCAGCTAAGCCAAGCCAGGCAAATGTCTTCCCCTAGTGAGCAAGGTCGGGTTAGTCAAGGCCACTTCTCCAACATAGGCAGAGCCTGGCCTGGACCCCAGAAAGGGAGGGGATGTAGACAACACCTGAAATGGTCCCTTTCTTTCCCCGCCCTAAACACAGGCAGGGGTCCTGCAGCCCTGATGCAGCGGGCTGGGGCTGGACCCATTGTGAGCCATCCCCAGGATACAAACCGAGGCTGGGAGCTGAGGAACTGGCGGTCACTGAGCCAGCCAAAGAGCGGGTCGTTGAGGCTGTTCCAGAGAAGAAACACCGTCTGCAGGGAGAGGCAAGACAGGGCAGGTGGGCTCCAGGCAGCATCCTCTCCAGGGCCCCTGCCCCACCTGCAGCCTGCTGACCCCTGCACACATCTGGCCCAGCTGCCTGCAAACCTTGTCTCATGTCAGCTGCTCCGCGCAAACCCACGCAAGCACTAGCAGCCACTGCCCATCAAACCCCATCAAATGTCCAGAGCCCAGCTGGCAAGTTAGGGTAACTTATGTGAATACTCTGTACCAGGGGACGACAGAAAGTTCATGGAAAATGAAATTAAAGTACAAATTTAATGGGGGACAGCAGGTGGCAAAGTGTTTAAGGCACTAGACTCCCACATGGCCTGACCATGGTTTGAGTCCTGAACCCAGTGGCTTGAAAATCATGCCAGGTACGTGTGCGTGCTTGTCCTAAATCCCAAGAAGAAAATGGAGAAGAGACTGCAGAGTGGCCATCTCCCCTAGGGGATGATTACTCTGTTTCTCTCTGTCTCTCTTCAGCGACATACCTTATGGTGAAAAAAAAAAATAAAGACAAGTTTAAGGAATGCGAAAGGGAACCGTGAACCGACTGAGCCCTGTGGAGGGTGCTTCTCTCTCACGTACATGCATATGTTCTATTCAGGGAAAAAGGAGTACAAGATTATTCTAGTGCAAAAACTTTGAAACTCACACAGGTTTTCATAATATGCATTTCCCATAAACTTTCAGAAGACCCTCGTATGGTCCTGTTTGCTGCATTATCTTACGTATAAATCTACAGAACCATGAACATGTAAGACGGTGGCAGGAGAGCTGCTTCAGTTTGCACGGAGGAGGGTCAGCCCAGCCGCCATAGCTGTTCTTGCTTACCCAGTGGACAGCCTGGCCTGCCCCACAACCCCGACTGGGCACCACCCAGCACCTGCCAGCTGCCTGGTAGCCCATGAGCCCTCTAATCCCCAACCCGGCTGTTGCCACCCAGTGCCGGCCCTACCTCTCCGACCCAGAAGGCCACTTTGCTGATCTTGTACACCGACACAAAGGTGTCCACATAGTAGAGCAGGAACACATTGTGCAAAACGGAGGTGAACAGGGCCAGGGAGCCATAGACCACAGCCGTGGGCAGGCCCAGCAACCAGGCCTGGGGCCGACCCAGCCCCATGGCTGCAGCCCCAGCCTCAGCCCCAGGCGCACTGAGGG